TTACATACAGCAGCTTTGTCCTAGCGTGTCTTCTGACTTCTTTGATGTACTCTTTTACTGTTTCTGTATCTTCTATTTTATCAGTGTGTCAACTGTAGAAACTTAATGATTTCAGATTGTCAAGTGCCAAACTCTGCCTCTCTTAATTTGTTGCTATGGGTCTAATGTGAGATGGAGAAACACATGTCCATTTTTATGGGAGTTGTGTCAAAAAATGAGATCCTGTGACTAAAAAAAAAATCTCCTGGGACTGGAAAGAGCAGTATATGTATTATCTCAACTGCCCCTCTCCAGTCTGTAAGAGCACTTCTAACGTCTACCTGTAGGTGGCTCCAGGCTGGTGTGGTTGTGGGCTCCCCAGCGTAGGCGCGGGAGGCTGCCCTGTGGCCCGCACAGCTGCCATTGGTGCTCTCAGGATGCTGCTGTGGGGGTTAGGGGGCATGGAGGCTTGTCTGTCCTTGCCAGGTTTTATTCCCTGATGGGGATCATAGATATTTTCTCTTCAGATCAGAGCCGGGGTGATGTAGACTCATGAGTGTATGTCTGAGTTTCTGGGATTGGCTTCTTGCTTGACCTTTTGCACAATTTTTGTCTCACCCCTTTGTCTCAATCACAAGCATGGGGTCTGTGGGCTAGTGCATCCCCCTGATGACCGGGCTAGTTTGGCTTATTATTAATCATATCTTCTCAAATGGCTCCATGAATGGTAGTATCATCTCTGCCAACCCAGCTACAGCTGGCTTAGGTGAGGTCAGTTCATGGAGGAAAAGATTCTAGATAGTTCTTCCTGTAGCACAAACCTGGCCTCATTCCTATCCTCATTTGCCCTCACAGAAGGACTGATCCTGCCATATGCCATAGAAATTTAGCCAGCAAGCTACAGGTGAATAGGCCTTCCAACTGTGCCTTGAGGACTTGTCAGCCACCTTCCTCCCCATCCTTTTCATCTCATGTTGACTTGGCCAAATTGAGCTGAGGATCTGAAAGTCTAGCCCACTGCTGGCACCAGGAGTGCCCACCAGCAATACCTCTCAGGCTCATCTCAGCATTCAGACACACAAGCCCTAACAGGCCACGCTTGGCCCCAGTTTACTCAGAAAGATACAGTATGGGGAATAGAGTTCAATTTCTACTTGGTGTATATAGTTCATACACAGTCCTTTCAGCCTGGATGCTATTTACTGTTCAGTGGTCATTTTTATCATAAGTAATGTTTTCCAGTAACACAGCTGACATTCTCCATGTATCAGGTTTTCAGAAAAGAAATGAGATTAGTCCATGAAGAAGGAGAGAAATGAATTCTTTAGCCCTTCTCCCATGATGGGTCACTGGTGGCAGCCTATGACTGAGCATAGTGCCAAATTGAATACTGCTGTAGGCTCTTGAGAACATCTTGTAGTTTCTGGGAATAGCTCCCTTTGTACGATTTTAGATGATCAAACTGATAAGTATAACATTTTGAGGGTATAAAAGGACTGCTCTTTGAAAAAGAATAAAGGATTCTCTGAGTCTAATGAAAAGAGACTATAGGCACGTAGTTAACTTTTAAAACCGAAAGCCTTTGTCAGAATGGCCATATCATTAAAAAGTCCACAAACAATAAATGCTGGAGAGGGTAGGGAGAAAAAGGAACCCTCCTACACTTCTGGTGGGAATGCAGTTTGGTGCAGCCATTATGGAAAATAGTATGGGGATTCCTTAAAAAACTGAAAATAGACTTACCATGTGACCCAGTAATCCCACTCCTGGGCATATATCCAGAAGGAACCCTACTTCAAAAAGACACTTGCACCCCAATTTTCATAGCAGCACTATTTATAATAGCCAAAACATGAAAGCAACCTAAATGTCCATTAACAGATGACTGGATAAAGAAGATGTGGTATATTTATACAATGGAATACTACTCAGCCATAAAAAGAAATAAAATAATGTCATTTGCAGCAACATGGGTGGACCTCGAGATCATCATTCTAAGTGAAGCTAGCCAGACAGAGGAAGAAAAATATCATATGATATCACTCACATGTGGAATCTAAAAAAAAGTACAAATGAACTTACTTACAAAACACAAACAGATTCACAGACATGTAAATAAACTTAGGGTTACCAGAGGGGGAAGGGGTAGGGAGGGATAAATTGGAAGTTTGGGATTTGTAGATACTAACTACTATAAAATAGGTATTATAAAAGATAAAACAACAAGGTCCTACTGTAGTGCACAGGGAACTATATTCCATACCTTGTAATGCCTGTAATGAAAAAGAATGTGAAAAGAAATACATACATGTATATACACACACACACATATATATTAAAAACTGAATCACTACACTGCACACCAGAAATTAACACATTGTAAATTGACTTTACTTCAATTAAAAAAAGTCTTTGTCTAGAAAGTCAATGCCTGTGCTTCCTCAGGGACATTTCTATTGATTTCTCTTCTTCTCCTTTAAAAAAAAAATTAATGGACTTTATTTTTAGAGCAGCTTTATGTTTACAGAAAAATTGAGGAAATGGGCCAGACAGTTCCCAAATACCCCCTCTCCACTGCACACAGTTTTCCGTATTATAACATTTCACATTACTGTGGTGCAGTTGTTATAATTGGTGAGCCAATATTGATATATTATTATTAACTAAGGTCTATCATTTACATTAGGATTCAGTCTTTGTGTTGTACAGTTCTGTGGGTTTTGACAAATGCGTAAGGTCTTATATCCGCCATTACAATGTCATATGAAATAGTTTCACTGCCCTAAAAATCCTCTGTACTCTGTCTATTCATCCCTCTCTCCCCCAGCCCCCTGCAACCACTGATCTTTTTATTGTCTCTTTAGTTTTGCCTTTTCCAGAATGTTACAGAGTTGCAATCATATAGTTGGTAGCCTTTTCAGATTGGCTTATTTTACTTAGCAATCTGCATTTTGGTTCCTCTATGACTTTTTGTGGCTTGATAGCTCACTTCTTATTGCTGAATAATATTCCATTGTATGGATGTACCACAGTTTATCTTTTTACCTATTGAAGAATATCTTGTTGCTTTCAGTTTTTGGCAGTAATAAATAAAACTTCTGTAAACATCCATGT